GGGTAACTCCAAGGGTAGAATGGAATGAGTCCAATCATCTTGTTAGAAATTGGAACCCACTTCCTGATTTCTGTATTTTCAATAAATTTAAGTGCTGCAGTCATTGCCCATTTGCCTTCCAAGCTGTTAATACTACATCAACTGTCTATCATCTGTCATCTAGCTTGCCAAGCATCCCTGATAGGGAGTCTTGAACAATGTGGGCACTGGAGCCTAGCTGACAAAACTATAGATTTTCATGAAATAGAATTTTATTTTATATCAAAGTTAGATGAGCATATCCCTGACACATATTAATCATCATAACTATTTTAATGATTTCTCAGTGCAGTGGGATAAAGTGTGTGGAATAAACTTCTATTGATTTATTGACTTGTTTATATATTTTGCTACTGCTGCTGGGGATGGATTCTGGAACCTTACATAATAGACCAGCACCAAATTACAGAGCTACCTCCTCAGCCCTGAAGCTACCTCCTCTTTGCTTGGCTTGAAATGCTTCCTTTCTAATGTTTCTGTCAATGTAAGGTAAACTTCAATGTTTTTATGTTCTTTCCTAGTCCTATTGACATTTTCTTATTTTAATTTAGATATATACCTTACCATGGATTAGAGCTTCCTACCAGTGCTCTCATAGTAAATGGCAGGGAGGTAAGGTATTGATTACCCCAGTTCCCATGTGGGACCTGAATAAAATGGAAACAACTTTAACTTGACTGAAATTCTGGGCTGAAGTGTTAAATTATGACAAAAGGCACAAAGCAAGGCTACAAAGGGCAGAACATTTTTCCTGAATAATTAATACAGGTCTATATCCATTTTCAAGCAATCTTGAGTATGTAAAGTACATAGTTGATATTTGAAAGACTTTAACAATGTCTTTAACATACTTTAACAATGAAAATCTTCTGGTTGTCCCATATGATAACTGTATATAACTGACTTAATAAAATACATCAAGCATAGCTGAATCAACAATTATCTTATGAGTAAATAAATAATGGTAGATATAAAGCTATTAAAGAAATTTTGGGTGACATAAACAACACACACACACATGCACGCGCACGCACACATATGCCCATGCTTTTCACATAGAAGCATTCTTTTTGATTTGGTCCCAAATGAAACATTTCACTCCTGACCTCATCCAAAGCACTTCTCTTTTCTGGCTAGTGACCACTATATTTTTCTCAATTTTTTATTTCCCTTATCAGAATTAAATATTGATACTTTCACATATTCAGCTTATGTAGAAATAGTTTTCATCCCTGAAAAATGTATCACATATATCATAATCATTAGAAATTTCCAAGAACAAGCAGGTGATGGATACTAGGCAAGCTTCTGTCCATACTAGAATAATCCCCACATATATTTTTGGATGAGTAATTTTAAAATTGTATGCAGTAAACTGAAAGTGTCATGGCTATACAGATATAGCGAAGAATTGCAAGTGTTAAATCTCACAATACAAAACTGCTGCATTGCAACTTTTCCACATGTAACAATCTACCTGTAGGAGAAAGGAGAAACATGATCTTCTTTCTTGGAGACTCAGCTGTCTGTGCCATGGGAAGGAGCTGTGTTTACAAAGAAAAATGATTCTTCTTTATTATATATGCTACTGAATCCATTAATGGGCAAATCAAAGAAAGCACTCTCCAGGGGTGAAAGGAAAGACCATTCCATATGCCCATCTATTTATATCCCCACCACACCTCTGATCATACTCTACACTGTGCTGTCTGTCTGCAGACCTGGTTTTTGTGCAGGTCAAATTACCTCTCTCTCTCTCTCTCTCTCTCTCTCTCTCTCTCTCTCTCTACATACATACATACATACATACATACATACATACATACAGCCCTGATTCAGCAGCTGAGCTGTTATTGTTTCCTCTTTAACACCATGTCCTCTAACACAACATAAAGGCAACTTTTAACTAATCTCATTACTTACATAAGAAAGAATTTGCATAGGTTGATGTGCACCTTTATTTCATACACATGGATACACTTGCCAAAGGATTTCATGTTATTGTTTACTTGGTTCAGTGTTTTTTAAAATAATAATAGTAATTAAGCTCATGCTTAAGTAGTGAGTTATAAGAAAATGATGGGCACAGTCAGAGTTCATGGATCTAAAGTGTTTCCATTGTGTTTTAATTTTAGCAAGAACTTATGATCTCATTTACATTCAATTGTCCACAGCTCTCTGTGTTCAGTGCTTCTATGTCTCCACATATCCTCCCACATCTATTTCGCTAAGGTAGTTGATGATTTATAAAGTATTTATGTACTAAAAATACACCAAAGAATTTTAAGACTTACATCTAGCCCTCCAAAACCTCCCATTTTGCAAATTCAACATTCATTTCAGTGACTTCAGCAGACCCAGCAGAGCAGTAGACAATTATTCATCATCAAAGGCAGAACCCTCTTTATGAATAATAGTAATAAGTTAATCAGCAAATTGGGAAATTATTGAGCATTAACAAACAGGGTTAATATTTGATCTGTCTTGTAAGCATTTTTCTTCTAATTTACCAAATGAGTTTCCAGGATTTAGAGACCCTGATAATACAACCTACATACTTCCATCTCAGAAAATACCAGGAATTGGAATCCATGTATATTTTAATGAAAAGCCAATGTTCCTCTTTAACTACTATAGTTGCTCACTTACTTTCTTTGTATCATTGTTGGAATGAAGAAGAAAATGTGCCTTTCAAAGGCTTATACATCTCATCTGTGAAAGCTTCCCAAAGCAAAGCCACCCAGCCCTCCTGTTTCTGCCTCTGTGCTCATCACAAAACTAAGTAGGTTTTGTTAAAGCGATGAGCTGTTTGCAGGACTAAAGCATCAACAACTCTTTGCCTTAAATAAAATTGTAGATTGGCAAGATCTAAGTGAATTTGATCTGTTATCCCTCATGCTCTGGGCTTTGTCCTTTGTACTGTGAGGGCAGACTGGGGACCACTTTCTCTTATGACACCCTGGAATGAGCTGGCATTGACTGATCCAGCTTGTCTATTTTTGATGCAATGATCTTCACAGGTAGTGGTATTCATTTACATCTTTTCCAAATAAATATTATCAGAGAAGGAGTTCTGACACATCTCCCACTTCCTTCTCTATCTATACCTTTTTTGATCTTGGGGGCACTGAGCAGTTAGTCACTTTGTGGCTTTTCTAAATTCTATGCATGAAAATAGAGGAAGGGGGCATCAAAGAAAGGTCAAATTTTCTCTAAAGAACTATATGTAAGCTGGACGAACTTTGCTTCTCAGTTTCTGTGTCATGTACCCATTGGTTTGTTAAGGCTACCCACCAATAGTGTCACAGGAGAGCTATCCTCAGTACAGAGGTTGGAAGCCCATCACCAAGACTTCTGCAGGGCTGTTGGTTTATCCTGAGCCTTCCTTTCATGACTCACTTCACTCTGAACTCACACGACCTTTTCTTTCAGATTCCTGGTGTGCCTGACTTCTGATAATACCACCAGACATAAGGTCCACTAGTGACCACATTTAAGCTATGTCTGTTGAATACCCTTTCTCTAAATATAGTCACACTGGCACCAGAACTTCAACTTAGGAATCTGAAGGTAACACAAATCAGTTAGTAACCGTGCCAGTTACATACACAGATACCTATGTGGTATAAAGAGCAGGAGTGTCAAAGGAACTTGCTTGGGAATAGGTAAAATGAAGCATGGTTACCTTAGCCTGAAGTCTAAATCTTGTCTGACACTTACCTATCATGCTAACAGTGTCCATATTCTTAGCCTCAGGATTTTCCTTTTAAACTGAGAGTTTAAAACTGGTTCCTATGTTGACTGTCAACCTCTTTAGTTTTTCTTTTTAAATTATTAATAGCATTATTCATTGTACAAAATAACAGGCTTCCTCATAACATTTTTTTGTTCAAGTGCATCATGTACTTTTCTCAAATTTACATGCATTACCCTCTTGTCCCTTCCATCTGCTGGTCCTTTTCCTCTTACCAAATAGTAAAATAGTACCCTTTCTGTTGTACACAACACACACACACACACACACACACACACACACACACACACTTGAAATAGAGACTCTACATACAAGAGAATATATAAGCTCTTTGTCTATCTGAGTCTGGTTTATTTCACTTAGCATAATGATGTCTAAGACTACCATTTATTTTCTGCAAATAACATTATGTCATTCTTTATAACTGAATATAGCTCTCTTGTTTTTATGTTTTCTTTGTGTGTTTATCTGTTGGTGGACAGAGTCCACAGCTTGTCTACTGTGCCTTGTTCATTAATAGGCAGGTGTGTTCAGGTGTCTCTGGCTGGGTGTCTTAGAGACCTCTGAGGATATTTACAGGGCTGATGGAGTTAGATCCCATTTGTCCACTGCATTGTATCCATTTAGATGATGAGTCCAAGATAGAAGAAGCCTCTAAAGGAGGCTTCTCTTGCATCCCTAGATTGAACATTGTGGAGATACCTGTGAGGATGAAATTAAAGACAGGAGAATATAATACTTTACAAAGTATAGACAGACATCTCTTTTCGTAATCGTAATTTTAAAAATTTTATGTAATTGTGGTGTGCATCAGTCCAACTCAGAGAAAAGCACCTGAGATTCATAAATGTGAACATTAATTCATTGTTTGAACAAATTTTTATTGAGTACTTGTGTGCAGCCCATTGACCACGGTGCTATGGAGTTAGATGTGGCATATATGTCTTGGAAAATGTATACTATAGGATTGAGAACATTTTGCCCTCACATTTAAACATTTCAAGAACTGGGTGAAATAAGACTCATTAATAAAATAAAAATAAAGTTGTCGTTATTATTAAGTTGCCATCACTTGTTATCCTGTGAGCAAGGCATGCATAGAAAGCCACTCACACCAGGGTCCCTCGGATGGGCTGCCTTAGCGCTTCACAGAGACCAAGGTTTGGGCTTCTGATGCCGCCGGGGCCTGGCTGGCCGCCCTGCCCAGCCCCGCCCTGCCGGCTGCTGGGCGCGTGGCACAGAGGGAGCAGGGCAGCTGAGTCCCCATCGCCAGCCGCCACTGCTCCAGGTAGACTCGGTAGACTCAGCTCGCACAGGCACAGGCTTTGACCAAGCACTGCCTCAGAGGCCTGGAACACAGGGTCCTTCCTTGGCCCTAGCAAGAAGTCCTGCAGGTCTTAAGTCCCAGTGTCGGTGTCTCCGGAGCTCGAGCTGCTGTGGCTTAGGCTGGGTGACTCCCGAGGCAAGTCACCTGTTTGACAGCCTCGCACTAAACCAAAGAGCAGTACCTGCGGGCTTCACTCGCTGCTCCAACGGATTAGAACTCGCTTCCTTGCTCCTCTCTGCCGTCCCATTCAAAGCTAACTCTGGCTTTAAGGAAAACGCTGAGGGGGCCCAGTTTCTGCAGCGCTTTCTTCTGCAAGATGGTAAGTGAGGAACTGGCTTTAGCTAGTCTCGCTGCCAGAACTCCGGGGGGCCCTGGAAGACAATAAACTGCCTTAAGAATGTATTCTGCTTTGGGAAATGCCTTTGTACTTTCCAATTAGTAGAGGCCATTCCTGCTGCCCCGCATGCCTTATTTTTCTCTGTTCCCTCTCCTTGCATGTTTGCCTCAGCATTCCACCCCTTCCCCCCCTCACCCTGCACACACCTTCGTCCCTTCCACCTGTTCCTCTAGATTATGCACATATTTGCAAACACTTAGATTTGAAATCCTCACGAGTGTTTGGGGTTTGTTTTCCTCTCAGGTGTCGATTGCTTAATAGCTTAGCTCTGATTCCAAGAATAACCTCAAAAAAAAAAAAAAAAAAAAAAAAAAAAAGGAGTCTACAAACATACTTTTAGAATAAAAGAAAATAGCACTTGATAAACTTTTGGCTGAATTTCTTCAGGCAGAGCTGCCCAAGCTGTGCTTGCCTCAATAGTGTACCCTTTCAAACCTTCAGTCACTGGCAGCAGGGGCCTGGGGCGACTCCAGTGACTCAATAATAATAACTTTTGTTCTTTTATTCTTATTTCTCCCTTCTTCTTCTTCTTCTTCTTTCTCCCCCTCTTTTTTTTCCTCCTCTTCTCTACTCCCTTCCTTTCCCACACTCTCTGCCTTCTCTATGTCATGTCCAAGAAAGTCTTCACAGCAGCAACACCTGTCTTGGAGTAGCCAGAAAGAGTTTGCCCAGACCTGGACTCTGCTGTAAGGGATGTTTTTGACTTGATTAAACATTGACACACAATTAAGAATGGGCTGTTGGACAGCTTAAGCTAGGAAGGAGGCAGACTGCCTACCCCTGCAGGGGCATTTGGAGAGACCACATTTGAGGTTTGACGAGTGACTTGGGGCGGGACAGGAAGGTGTTCACTGAGTCAGAACACAGTGGAGAAAGGCATGCCAGACAGCTACTGGTGGCAGGATAACTTGAAAAGGGTACTGAGTGTTAACTATGGAGGGAACTAGAACCCGCTGCCTTTATTCTCAGCTTTTGATTGATGTCATTCATGTTTCTGTGACTGGAGTTGGGGGAAATGTATGTGATCACCTCTCTCTCTCTCTCTCTCCATATATATATATATATATATATATATATGTACATGTTTATCCATTCTAATGTAAGACACACAACACACAGCTGGTTCAGACTTCCAAATTAGGAAGTTCCTTGAGATGATGCCTTGTAGAACTGTTCGCTTAACCCTTTGAAGTCTGTGATCTTTGCCTTTCAAGGTTTATAGGATACAATCAAGATAACTACTACAGAGCAGCAAGCAGTTCTTACATTTTTAGATCATGAAATCTAGTTCTTTTTACTTAGTTTCTGGGTAGCTTATCTGTTGAGCCAGGCACTACAATAGGAAATACCCCTCTGATGTTTACAACCTGGACTGTCCAATACTAGTTATTTGGTGAAAGGCCTTAAGAAAGTAGTGGGTAATTGAAAGAACCCAGTATTCTTTAGTAATTGTAACCCCACCATTCAACTATGTAGCTGGACCTGTAGTTATTGCTTTTATTATTGATGTGCTTTACCATGTATAATTTCTCCATGTTTCTCCCATTCTCTCACCCTCCCAACTGCGCCATGCCATCTCCCACACCCCCATCAAACTGAAATTCACAGAACAGCATTCTGCCTTGCCAAGATCCGTATTTTGTAGGAGGCCAGAGTTATAATTGCCCGTATTCCACTACAACGTCAGAATCTAGTGTTGACGTTTCCAAGGAGACTTGGGTCTCTTTCTGGGCTGCTAGTCTCCTAGACAACGCTGAGCCCCAACAAGCACCACAGACACAGGGTAAGTTCTACTCTTCTGCTTTGCTTGTAGAATGGGTCTTTTCACAGTCTCGTGACTGTAATCATCAAGGACTGGGATTCAACAGAGAAAGTGATATTATAGAGAATTTAAGTAAGCACTGAGACCCCTGGAATTTTTTTTTAGCAGTAAACTCATTGTTCTGTACTTCTCAACTAAGAAAAATGAAACCCTACTTCTTGTGTGCTAGATGGCGTGTATTTCCTATATTCTGTAATTCTTGGAGACTGCCAGCTCATAAGAAACTTTTGGTGTAGCACCGGGTTATAAACAGCACTCTCGTAGCAATTTGCTTCTTTAGTCAAAACATCAGGTAGAATATTTATGTTGTAATTTGTTGAGATTCGTGTGACCCTGAGAGAAAAATAAATAATGAGTAACAAAGTTAATATCATACAAAGTTTGTGCCCAGAGCTTCATACAGAGAAATAACCCTTCCCCTTTCATATACACACCTCAGTTTTAGAGAGATGTCCAATGTTGGTGGAAATTACGTACAACACTCACATTGGCCTGAAGCTTAATTAATATTCTTGCACATACTAATGGGATTTCTGTATTAATGCTTGGTTTCAGCACCTCAGAATACCTGTGCATTCATTCCACCCCCAAAGTATTTTAGAGACTGGGGAGAGGGGTATGAAAAGATGCTGAAGCATACACTGAAATGAATAAAACATGTGTCATGGAGAACATTGTTCAGTTTTGTCTTTTTACTCTAGCAAAAGAGAGGCGTGTCTCAGGATGTGAACCCAAGTTTTATTTTTATTTTCTTACATGTCACTCCAACTTACCACTAAATGTTTCAACATTTTAAGACTGGCAGGTTAAATGGGGGAATGAAGCCAAGGATTGGGGGAGTGAAGGCTAAAGTACATTAGCATGTAGAAACCATTTTTCATTGATGGGCATAGCTTGCTGTAAAATTTGAAAAAGAAAACAAAAGCAGTTCTTTGAAAAAACATTTAAATATACAGATGCAGACACTTGAAATAGATCAGGTATGGCTTAGCAGTGAAATCGCCATAGAATTCTTCAGAGAAACAAGAAGCCTATCACGGGGTTGGAGAGATGCCTCAGAGGTGAAGAGCATTGGCTGCTCTTCCAGAGGTCCTGAGTTCAATTCCCAGCAACCACATGGTGGCTTACAACCATCCATTATGAGATCTAGTGCCCTCGTCTGGTGTGCAGGGATATATGAAGGCAGAACACTATACACAACAAATAAATAAATCTTTTTTTTTTTTTTTAAAAAAAAGAAGCCTATCACTAAGGCAAAGGGAGGTAAGCGGTGGGAATTTGACTCAGCCATGCAGTGCTTTTCCAGCATATGCAAGGTCCTAGTTTTCATGTGTAGCACTAATAAATAAACAAATGCTATAAAATGTTATCATACCATGACATGAAATTCTGAACACAGTCTGCCTTTCAGATTTCATAAGTAAGACGAGTGAGAGGAAAATGCAGCATCAAAATACAGGATTTGATTATAGAGCCAAACGTACTGCTATCAAATGCTAAAAATCAGAAAATAAGATTAACACTAGAAAGGAGGGGTGGAATTGCAATATTGTGCCTAGTGGAGATGGGGTCAGTAAGTATTTCTATGAAGTTCAATGGAAGAGGCAGCCTCTATTAACTTAACCAGAAAGAATATATACACACATTTTAGGAGCCACTCAGCTCCTAAAATACATCTGCCACTGGTAGGCTATGCATAAATATTTGCTCACTTTCTTCTGAAATCTTTAAAGTCTTGTTTTCCAGTGTGAAATAAAAGTAATTAAATCTATTAAACTTTAGGAGTTGTTTGTGAGTACTTATTGCATAGTTCTAAATATGTTCATGCATTTATTTTGTGTTTTTACATAGAAGCATCCTGTGACTTAAATTTCCCTGTTCTGGATTCATGTTCATGGGAAGAGGCTCAGCTCTCCTCTCAGCTCTACAGAAACAAGCAGGTATGGATAGGTAGTGAGACACTGGGACTAACCTAGTTCCATAAAGTCCACTGTTCCTGGAGACTCCCTTTATTTCATATTTCCCTTTAGTTTTAAATATTTTCTTTTTAAAAAATAATTTCACCATGGCCTAGTGTTTGTTGTGACACACAACAATAATTGTGTGTCCAAAGTGATAAAAGTTAAATGAATAAACTCACAGAAGCAAAAGCTCCAAGAAAACCTATGATTGACCTCTCAATTAACCAAATTCATCCCCCTTATCTGTGGAATACTTCTGCAGCCCTTCTCTGAGGGCAACTGCAAAGACCAAACGATGAATACAGCAGTGTTTAGAGCAATAAACCTGGCTTATCTTTGAGAGGTGGAATGAAGGTAAAAGTTTTCCAAAAGATGACTTCCTCCTCTGGGTATCATTTGTGGCTGTTCCTAATGAGCACTTTTATTTATTGGACACACGGGTTTGGGGCTGGGAAAAGCCAGGTCACATCTTCTGTTTTTATTTTCTGAACTGCAAGGAAGGAGTCTAGCCAAGCCTTCTAACCATCCTCCCTATATTTAAACAGTTCCGTGTGGCTCACTTTCCTTCACACCCCCCTGACTCCCTGTGGTTACAGTTCTGAAAGTCATCTGATCTCCTCAAATACTTTGTAATGAATGGAATACGCAGTGCACAAAACTGAACAATCAGGTGGTAGGGAGGGTAGATTTAATTTAAGACTCAGAGGACCAGGGTTCTTTGAAATTATGTTCCTAAAACAAACAAGAATAATCAAGTCCAAGAATGTTGGGGAGCAGTGCAGTATTATTAGGTTACAAAGCCAATAGAGGGGTGCACCCTTCATTATTGTGTGCTTCTTGCAGCTCCAGGACACTCTGGTACAGAAGGAGGAAGAACTTGCTAGGCTACATGAAGAGAATAATCACCTCAGACAATACCTGAATTCTACTTTGGTTAAATGTCTGGAAGAAAAGGCCAAGGTATGTAATTATCTGTTTTCCAAGTGCAAGGCAGTCACTTGACAGAGCAAATCACTACGTGACAACCCCATGATTAAATACATGAAGTTTACAGAACGAGATGTTTTTATGGGAGTTAGTAGGATGGATATTATCCTTAAGGAAATAAATAACTGCAACAGAATTGTTATATAGCATTTTCCAGAAGTTTCTAGTTTCAGATTTTAGCTTCACATCACAAAGGGAATTAAGGACAGAAGTTAATCAGAGGAGCTGCTAAGACTATTGGGGTTAATAAAGAGTGGAGTATTGGAATAGAAATCAAACATAAAAAATAGTAGTTCTAATTATGTGTTAGATGTTAGCTAAAGTTCTTCCTCAAGGCCTTTGCTATCCTAATTGGTAAATGGACAGGCCAAGAGCCTTGGTAAGAGTCTCTCTGGGAGCTGTGGAGATGGCTAAGTAAGTAAAGTGCTTTATACACATCCATGGAGAACTGAGTTTGGACCCATAAGGTGTCCACATTAAGCAGGCACAGCAGCACTCATCTGCAACCTGAGTACATCACAGGGAAGCTGAGACCAGTACATCTCTGCATCCCACTGGCCAGCCAGTCTAGGAAGATCAGTGAGGGGCCCTGTCTGAAAATGTAAGGTGGAGAGTCCCAACTCAACCTCTGGACAACTACACACACACACACACACACACACACACACACACACACACACCCACACACACACACACACGGCGGGGGGGGGGGGGGAGGTATATCTGAATCTGAAATGCTGTGGATATACTTGGGTCCCAGGAGTCTCTACTAGTGATTACAGATATGAAAGTACTCTTTGTCCATGTACATTTGAGTGAACTGCTTTAACTCGAGGACAAATAACTCACCTGTGACCTTTTTGTTCTTTGATTTTTCACATTTAAGTTTGCATTTGCCATCATTCTTGTTACTATGTCTTGCATCAGTTTTATCTCATTTCTAGACAAACTATGGTATTATTTGTTCTAAATTTGATGCTACTTCCTGCTTTTGAGTTCATAGCGAGTCATTAAATTTGACTCTGTTGCAATCCACTTATCTTTGACTTAAACAAATACATCCCTATATTAATTAGTCTGGGATCCTAACATTAGCTATCAATCAATAAAAATCATCAAGTGATATTAATTGGACATTTTAAATTCCCTTGATATCAGTTTTGTAAATTTAGAATAATATAACAAATGACATGAGAGTGTTTTAAAAGTTAGTATGATAAAAGTCGGAGGTAGTAAATAGTGTTGAAATCAGAGGTTCTGCCTAGATTCTTATATGAAGATGTACTCAGCTTATCACTAATAGTATCTTTATTGATTCTTTTAAGAGCATCTGCATCCCACGAGAAAACATACAAGTAATGCTTTATAAATAATGATGCTATTTTATTTACTTATGAATAAGTTTAATAAGTGACAGCTGCTATTGGCATTAGCATTTGTTTCCCTTAGTAGAAATCTTACAGATGTCATCTGCTTCCTTCAATTCTTAAAAACTGAATAAAGAATGTGAAACAAAGTAACAACTTATTAAGGATGCTTACTCAACAAACAGTAGCTAAGTGACTAGTTTTACTTGTGTGGGAACACACAAGACATTTAGCCATTTTTTGGTATTCAAATGGGCAAACAGTAAATATCCAAAAGAAGTACAGTTTTCAAATATTGCTTTTCCAGAAATTGCTGTCATCAGATGAATTTTCTAAAGTATGTGGAAAACTCAGAAAGGAGAAGAGGAAACCCAAAGAACACAGACACTCCCCTGCTGAGATACCCCAGTCAAAAACTGCCAAGAGAAACCTCTCCACCGAGTTTTCTAACTGTCAAGAACAAACCGGGCCCTGTGTGGATCCCTGGGTTCTTCAAACCCTTGGGTTGAAAGACCTCAACACCATTGATGACACCCTACCAGCTAACTACAGTGCCATTGCCTCTCATCCCATAATAGTCCCCGGTACATCCTCCCAGTTTCTACATGATACAGTTGGCTATGCTACTGTTTCTAGAGATCAACACCTTGACTATGGAGGCAACAGAGCACATGCTTCAAATGTCACCCCCATCCACCAGCAAGACTGTCACTGTTTTTCTAGGCTTTCCAATCCTCCGGTAGGGGTGCAAACTCTTCCTTACCACAGTGCAGATGTGTCACCCAACAAGACAGAGGTGGCCTTTTCCACATCTCTGAGCCCTCACTGCAATGTGAAAACACACTCTTTCCATCAGGGACAAGCCTTTGTGCGTCGAGATGAGGAGGGAGGCTGGAAGTTTACCTGGGTCCCTAAGGAGCCTTAGTGACCATTCTTCTCTTACAAAGTACTGCCAGGACATCTGTTTACAAAGACCTCTTCCACGTGGATCATCCAGAACACAGCAGCTTTTGCTTGCCTCCTGCCACTGCCAGTGTTCCTGTAGGTTATGTACTTGAAACTGTACAATATGGTTGTCAAGAAACCATACTAATAGGTATCTGCTCTTCTTTTACTCATATTTGACTTGTTTACATGTCCACACCAGCAGCTGGCTTTCTCTCTTTGTCTGGCGCCCGAAAATGTATTTTCTGATCACATGTATTTTTCAAGGCCACAATGTACTTTTCCAATAATGGCCAGTTAAACAGCATATCATTTTTGGTCAAATGGTCTAAATGTTGCTTCTATTACTCCTCTGCTTGTCTTTATTTCTGAAAACTACTTCTGGAATGAGCCTTATTTTTGCTTCACATACTTACTACTGAATGTTCACAGATTGGGGGATCTGCCCATTGGCACTACTGAAGACACAGTACCAATGTGAGTAACATTATATCCAGGGAAGATCAAATAATTGAGTGTCCCATGATGCTATTGTCAAAGTGTCTTTTCAACAATGCTAACCTCACTAATAAGCAATACCAATGACAAATTACAGCAGTCAAAGAATTACTGCTACTTTAAAGTGCTATGTGGTATAACTATTACTTTTGGCACCTGGCATTGTAAGTTTGAGCAATACGGTTCAAACTTTTTTTGAGGGACTTTAATTTAAAAAAGAGAAGGAGAGAAAGATTTCCTAAACTTCACAGACCTAGAAAACCCTGTCACTAAAAGAGTAGTCTAGCTTTCTTTTGCTCTTGTTTTATCCTTGTGCATCCTCCGTTCAGTGATTCCCTCAAAAGGTTTATAGGAACTTAGAATGTGTGTTGGACAAGGCACTGTGACATATGTCCTGCACCCTAGACTCCTGCACAGGTTAACCTTGAGAAACCTACTTCATCTGTGACTCTGGAATATAGAAATTAGACTAGGTCATCACTAACATTCTGAGTTGAGTGTGGATTCCATTAGCTTTAAGCTTTAATCAAAGATGTCATCCCAGCCTATCCCTCCCTTTAATTTTGATAAGCAATGCAGATTTTACCTAGGGTGCACCTTATATACAATCAAAACAAGGAAAATAACTATAACCAATATATACTTAGCATGGCAAATTCTGTTCTGATCATAGCATTCTTCAGTGTGAGCCAGTTTTGTATGGGAGAGCCATTTGCATCTACCAGTAGAGACATGTTCAAACTATTCATAGCTCTAATGCAAAGGATTTATACCTCTCTAGATTTAAGAGATAGTCACACAGTGTGTTTCCTTCCCACCCTGCTCTTCCCAGAATTAAGCTCCTATCATGGATATGCACCTGTATTGTTTGCACACAACCCATTCTGTTTCTCTCATTCTGTCTCAGTCACTCCACAGACTCTGTGCCTGAACTGTGAACTGTCTGGAATCCTTTGTAACAAAGATGTTCCTTTGTTTTTTGTCCTTTGTTCTCTGATTTTGTTTGATCATCAAATCAAATAAGCTATGCTATCATGTTTATTGCTAATCAGTTTTGTTTATTATCATGGAGAGCCTAATAGTATACACTAGAATGATTTCTGAACTTAGGGAGCAATAGAACCTTTAACAACTTTCTGTTTGAAGAAGTGTGTCTTACTTTCTGGGATCCATGTCCCTGGTGGGTGACATTAATCTCGTTTTAGAATAGCAAACGGAACATTAGAATTGATTGTATGTTACTCTACTAGGAATCAAGTAAACAATGCAATTATTTTGAAAGTTGAATAAACAGAATACCAGAATTAGATATCAGGTATTTATGTTGCATTGTTTAAGTGCTGGGTCTTGGGATGCACACTCTGAGGAGAAGTCCAAGTTCAACACAGTGCATTTGGTGCACGAAGAACAGCCACATACATATCACAGCTTTTGACATTGTTTCAAAGCAACTTGGTCTCAGCCTGTTTTATAGAAATTACATTCCTTTTGTAATTCATTTGGACTTATATTATGAAAGGCAGTATCTGAGGAATTATCATATATTTTTGCAATCACACCTTGAAATTCATGAACTATATTGAGTTATTTGTGGAATCTCATTTTGTTGATGTTGAAAAGTTTAAAATTTCATTATCTGAGTGCATGTTCTGACTTTTATGGTTTGATCTTTTCTCTGCAGTGAACCAGTTAATATTTTACAAGATAAAGCAACAAACAAAAGCTCTGTCCTTTTTTGAATGTGACGGGCACTTTCATATGGTGCAAATGATTTGCAACAATAAGTTTTTCTCCTACTGGGTTGTGACCATATTCATCCTTATTTGCACTAATTTTGTAGTAACTACATAGCTGGATTAGTATCATTGGTATTTAGGGTTACTAGGTGTTTCCTTTTTCCAGGTATATAAGTGAGGCTTTTGAATAATCTGTGGCCTAAAGGAGCAAATGCCTTATGGATACAATAGTCTTGAATCTAACCTTATATGCGAATTTGAATCTAATGTTGATTGTTAATTATATTTTAAATTTTTGTCTCTTAAATAATAATATATTAACTATTTGAAAATCTTATGCAATGTATTTTGATCATATTCACCAACATAGATTCACCCTACCTACCCTCAACTCCTGACCCATCCAACTTCTCTATTTTTGGTTATTTATGAATAAACCTAATAGGTGTATTTCTTAAACTACAAATATATGGCATAGTTATGTTTTTAAATGTTTTATGTCTACATTTTGTTAGATGAACATAAGCATTTAGTTTTAATTCTTATACAGAATATCTGCAAATGGCAAGCACAATTTACCACTTGCATTTTTAAATGCTATGATTTATTTGTGATTGGAATTCTTTCTAATTATACAAGTTAATTTTGTAATGAATCTCTGACTAATAAATGACAAAATTTATTTTTACTGTCCTTTGACTGTTATTTTAGAAATCATATACAGTGGATGGAGTGATGTACTAAGAAAGAGGTTTTGTACCTATTTCTGCTATAAATTTTACATCATTTCCAATTCAGTTTTTTAAAAGTACAATCATTAACAATTGGGGAATTGTTAAGTAGATGCAACCTGTGACAGAATTGAGTGAAGCTATGAAGATGCAATGTGATTTTGAAACTAAAACATCTGTAAATGTGAGGCAAAACCTGAGCATCTTTGATCAAAGCAAGGGAACTGGCTCTGAGGAAGACAGAACTCTCTCTTCCAGGGTGATGCAATCCAAGTTTAAAGCATGGTCACAGGAATCTCATTTGGGATCTCCAGAGAGTCTGTGATAAGGAGCAGAATTTTAAATGGCGTTAAGGAGGTGCTTACACAAACTCAACAGAAAGCAGAGTGCAATGAGGTCTGTGGACTTAAACGGCAACACAGTGTCTCATAAATCACTTTCTGATCTTCTCCTTTTTTCCCACATACACTTTCCCCAAATGAGGGAAACAAGACGGTCGTGGTGATACCAGGGGAGAAGATCAGCCGACCAGACTAACTGATCATGGAAACTGAGCAGTTTCCCCAAGTCTGTGATCTATTCTAGACTGCAATTCACAAGGAGGATATGCATATCTATAGAGAATACATACAGATTCTTTCTCAGTGTCAGGATTTTGCATTTGTGCAGTGCCGTTTGACTTTTTCTTTTGTCTTGAAGAAAATTTTGGTTGAATCTTTTTCCAAATGATACTTGAATATGGTGTAGTTAGTGTAGATGTGAAAATAAACATGAAATTTTCAGGTAAAGAGGTGAAACCAGATAATATTATGTTGAATTTAGCAATCCATACCCAAAATACAAATACTGTATGTTCTCTCTCATCACTTAGCTCCTAGGTCCAAATCTTCGGATATAAGTATATAACCTAGAGTAACTACAGGTATCAGGAAATAAATGGTGTGAGGCTGGGGAATGCTTGCTATGGAAACAACAGGATACAAATTATATGGAGGGGGAAATGGGAAAAACAGTGAGGGCTTAGTAGTACTAAGCAGAGAGAACAGGTCATATTTATATATCTACACATCCACGTAAAAATATGTAATAATAAAGAAAAAGGACATACATTGGAGAGAGTCCAGGGGTCACAAGTACATGTGAGGGATGGGAATGAAGAAACGAAAACTTATATAAATAAATATGTATATGTGAAAAATGAGAAAACTTAAGCCTGGCTTTCAGGGCACAACATGAGAACGAGTTGAGGCCCAAGATAATGTCTTCTGTGCTTGAACACATATTGTACATACTGTGGAAGCCAAATGAACGTATGGCACCATGGCTGCAGCACAGTACACCAGGCCCTTTGGATGCAGAGGCACTGGAGGTAGAGAGGCCTCTTAATCCTTCATTTTACTGTTACTGCTGGTCCCTTTGGAGACTCCAAATTCTCACCATGTTCAACAGAGAAATAATTCATTCTCTACCATTTTTAAAGAGAACTATAAAAACTAACCTGTTTCACAAATTTAGTATGAGGAGGGGATGGTGGCAAAGTATCAGGAAGTAAATTATCATTGAGTGTACTAATAGGGTCTCTTCAATGAAAAGGCAGATGTTAAAAGGATATTAATTTATTTCTCAATTGCTTCTGCTCATATTAAAACATAAAGTAGAACTGTACAGACATTTCATATGAAAATCTATTTGGTGATGGGAAGGGGTCTACTAAGCAGATAAAGTGTTTGCAAAGCAAGCAGAGGAACTAAAGTTCAAATCCCCAGGATCCATTTAAAACAGACTGGGTTGACTAGATAGAGTAGATAGAATCCGAGCTATCTGGGTTCAGAAAGGGATCCTGCCCCAGCAAATACAGTGGAGAATGATTGACAAAGACACCTCATAACATTTGGGCTTCTGCATTTACATACATATACATGTCTGCCCACATACATGTAAATATATGTGCATATATGGTACAACACACACACACACACACACACACACACACACACACACACACGCACACTCTC